CTGATTCCATATTCAGCCAGTACTTTCCTCAGACTTTCCTGTGAGGCAGGGTTAATGCAGGCATGACCCAAAGGCTTCCACACCTGTACTCTGGCAGTGGTTTCTCTTTGGAGACCCTAGAGGCTTGGAGAAGAAGGTACAGACTCCCATGTCTCTGACTACAATCTATGCTCCAGAGACAGAGAACCGAATGTGCAGCTGGACTTGTGGGCAGAGAGAATTAGATGTACGGTGGACGACACCTATCGGGCTGCATGTCTGCCTCGCTGGAATGCTGGAGCATCGCAGGCCTGCCACTCAGAGAAGGCAGAGCACAGTTCAAAACAATTGATGAGAAACAGCCGGGGCTGGGATGGATGCCATGGCTCTCAGTCTCCTGTGTACCCAGACGCTGCTAGGGACCACAAGGAGTTGAGAACAGTGGTCCATGAACCCAAGGTTCCTCCATGCACCAGGCAGGAAGGGGCTGGCTGAGCTCAGGGCCGGGGTGCAATCTGGTTTGATTCCAAGACAGTGCTGGATGTATGGAGGGCCTGGAAGAGAGGCCTTCTCTGGGAGATTTAGGAGTGGCTCTTTATGACGAAAACCTTGATGAAGGAGACAGTCCTTGCTTGTCCAAACTGCTTTATTTATGGCGGATGTGAATGAATATGTCTTACTCAGGGTAAACCAGGGATTAAAAACCTTTTGCAGGAAGGGAGGCTAGACACTCAGGGCCTATCTCGATACCTCATTAGCGTGGAGAACTCTAGGTTTTTATGTTACATGACCAGTTGTCCTGGTCATTTCGGTGAGGTGTCATGGTTACATGTTCCAGGGCTACTAGGAACAGCATACAATGACAGGGACTGCCTGCAGTAGGCCGGGATGGAGACATCTCAGTAGCCTGTGGCAGCTCTTTGTAAAAAAAAATACTTGTTCCCATTTCTCCTAACCTTAGCCCTGGACAGCAGCTGTATAGGTTTCATTTGTGAGTGACTATTTTTCAGTTGGCCTCGGTGTGCATAATTATTCTATTATATCTGACTTTCTTCTTTCTCCTTCTGCTCTGGAGAATTCTGTGAAACTAGATGTTCCTTAATGTAATGATTCTTTTTTTTTTTTTTTTTTTTTTTGGTTTTTCTGTGTAGCCCTGGCTGTCCTGGAACTCACTCGGTAGACCAGGCTGGCCTCGAACTCAGAAATCCGCCTGCCTCTGCCTCCCAAGTGCTGGGATTAAAGGTGTGCGCCACCACCGCCCAGCAATGTAATGATTCTTAAACAATTAAAAATTGAGGCATAGTTCACAACACAGCATAGTCCTAATGGCCCAGGTGCATGCTGTGTGTTCTAATCTTGGAAACAATGTAATAACTGCACAATGGTAGTTCCAGATTAACGCTTGACTTGCAAAGAAAGTTTGAAGAAATTATTAGAAAATGAAGTAGAGCCAACACTGGGACCCCAAGAAAGGAAAAATCTGTTGAAGTTATGAAATAAGTTTTGCATAACATTTAAGAGTGGTTCCTAGATAAGGAAGTATAGAATATATAAAATCTTATACCTAGTAAAACTAAGTCAAAACACTGGGACTCTTAGAAGAGTCATTGTGTGCAATGTACAGAAGCAGAAAGCTAGTGGAACTACTGAGTGAAGGGTTAACTTGACTCTTTCTGGCCACTGCCTGGCAGCTTTGCCCATGTCATTTATCATTAGAGCTTCTCAGGAAAATGCAAGTAGCTGACCTTGGAGCTCTGAGCTCTGAAGTATAATAAGTCAAACGTTAAAGTTTAAATAATGATACATTTGCAATTATTATTATTTTGTCTACAGGCCTGGGAATAGGGAAGTTTGAAACTTTGGGGATTAATTGTAATTCTTAATTCTTTGTGGGACGTGGTTATTCTTTTGAATTTGATTTGGCAGTGATTATACAATGTCTTTTTTTTTTTCCTATCTGCTTTTGGAGTATCACTAAAAGACTGGGGCAAGAGAAAGGCGAGAGAGCAAGTGGAGAGTGAGTAAAGAGAGAATGTGAGGTGTGTATGGAGAGTGTGTGTGTGAGTGGAAGGAGAGTGCATGTGGTGTGTGTGAGGTGTGTGTGAGATGTGTGTGACGAGTGTGTGTGAGAGTGAGAAGGGAACATACAGAGGTGTGTAGGAGTGTGGGAGTTCAAGAAAAGTGCACAGGAGAATGCAGAGTTCGTGCAGCCTCAAGCTGCGAGGAAATGAGAAAGAAAGCAGACAGTGAGAGAAAAGAGAAACTTTAAGCCTTGAAAAATTGCCTGTCAGCTTGTCCCCCCAAAATAGTCTGCGTATATTTATTATGCTCCTTCCAGATATCCCTGCTTCCAGTTGAGAACTCTGATCCTGTGTCAAGGCTGGACCCCAACACAGGGCAGGTGGAACCTGGCTGGGAGCCAGATCCAATGCCTGCCTTTCTCAGTTGTGAGATTTTCCTGGGGCTTTTGAACCTGCTTCAACCGTACTGGTTCTTCTCTCTGGTGGCATGGTCCACTTGTTCCACAGACACCAGGTCCCCTTAGAGCTAGAGACGATTCCAGGCACCAGCGTCTTCTAGATCAGATTGGTCATAACAGGTCCCCACATCAAAGAGCATTGAACACAAAAGGTTTTTTTTATTAAAGAGTATGTGTATGTGTGCTTTGTCTGCATGTATGTCTGTACATCACATTATATGCCTGGTGCCCTCAGAGGGTAGAAGAGGGTATCAGATCCCCCTGGAGCTGGAGGTTTAGAGGGTCGTGAGCTGTTGTGTAGGTGCTGGAAATCATCTCTGGGTCCTCTGGAAGAGCAGTAGCCAGGGCTCTTAACCACCAAGCCATCTCTCCAGCCTGAGATCTTGTTTTAAAACACACACACGCACACACACACACACACACTGAGAGAGAGAGAGAGAGAGAGAGAGAGAGAGAGAGAGAGAGAGAGAG